AATAGCTAACTTATATGTTTTCTTTTTTTACGAAACCTTATCAATAGGGAGCAACATGTCCAGCATGTCCTAACGCTAAATGTGTCTCTAACTACTGCGGTGGATGCCATGCTCTATGGTATAAATCTGATGGTACTCTAGTAAACTGCAATAAATCATCTCCATGTCCATCTGGTCAGGATGAAGTTCAATGTAAGAAAGACCCATGTGAAGTAAGTTACAATGACTAGGTTATATGTTTTCTTCTTTACAAAAGTTTTTCAATAGGGAGCAACATGTCCATCATATCCTACCGCAAAATGTGTCTCAAACTATTGCGGTGGATGCCATGCTCTATGGTATAAATCTGATGGTACTCCAGTGAACTGCAATAAATCATCTCCATGTCCACCGGGTCAGAATGAAGTTCAGTGTCTGAAAGATCCATGTCAAGTAAGTTACAATAACTAAGTTATATATTTTCTTTTTTACGAAAGCTTTTCAATAGGGAGCAAAATGTCCAGCACATGCCAACGTTAACTGTGTCCCGAACTATTGTGGAGGTTGCAAGGCTGAATGGTTCACATCCAATGGAAAACAAGTACAATGTGTCATTACTAATTAACGATTTTCATCAAAATATATAGATTTTTTTTATTATTTATTTGTAATAAAAAGGCACCATGATAAAAAATAAAAATAAAAATCTTGTCAGTTTATCAAACCATATAGTTGAAAAAAGATAAAAAAATAATATAGTTCTTCCTAGGCTGGGAAGAAAGTAGTAAAGTGGCATTAAAATGCTTTCAAACGTACATAATTATAGCGATGCAAAGCTGTCACAAAAAATGCGTAAAAATTGCTTTTCATGTGATGGATTAAAATGATTACGAAAATGATCATTTTAATACATCAAATGAAAGGCATTTTCTGTAACTGTTTTACATCATTATAATAATTTTTACTTCAAGACATTTTAATAATATTTCTTTTAATATTTGTTTGTTCAGATTTTATTTGTTTCAATAAATTTGCGTTTTAATTCTGCACGAAATGATATATTTGTATATATGTATGTATATACATATTTTTCACTATTATCATTGCGCATCAAATCAATAATCCAAAATGATGAATTTCATAGGATAACATTATCATTTTTATGATTAAGTTTCTGCATAGGTTTTTCTTTTGATACTATTTTTCCTAATTGCAAGAATGTACAAATTCGTTCGAACATCAAACATTCCAATGTTTTCAGAGCTGAGCGAATCCTGAACTGAATATATATTGAACGGTTTAATTTGGAACGAATTTTTACATTTTTGAAATTAGGAAAAATAGCATCAAAAGAATAACCTATGCAGGAACTTAATCATAAAAATGACAAAGTTATATTAGAAAACTGATTGCTTTGGATTATTGAGTTGAAGTGCTTCGAGAATGGTGAATCATATGTATATACATATGAGTCACTCTGGTATCTATTGTACCATTTGACCGTAAAAAATGGCCTTGTTTATTTCTCAGTTCCTGTTCAGTCAAATTGCTCGAGATTAATACCAAAGTATCTGTTAGTCATGCTCTACTTATGCTGCTAAAATCAGATTTCTATCTTTTATCGTTTACGAAAAATGCTGAAAATAAAGTACTTTTTTGACCATTTTTGTGCATTTTTATGATGATTCCAGATTGGTTGCTTTGCTTTCAGTCTTTTTTTAGCTTGAAACAAAAAATGTAAATGATATTTGATTGATTTTCTTATATCAATTTTGAATGCTCTTTCTATTCATAATCTTATTTTCCCTCCAACTATTGTCATTTCACAGAAAGGGGGTAGTCGAAAATGATGGATTTTTCCCCACGGTGAAAATGGTATAAAATGAAAGTACTTGATGAGTATAGAACTACTCCGATGTTGATTTCTTTCAATCTTATCCCTTTTGTAGATAAAAACTTAACGAATGTTACGTCTATGTCCTATAGGCTCCTGTAGGATCCTAGGTTTCAGAAAATTCGTACTTTCGAATTTTGTTCTGAAACTTTGTGCATATAGAGCTATCAGCTAGACTAGCTTCTATAAAAATATTTAGAAGTTTTTAACAAAGTCTTCGGGATATGAAGCTTTCAACAAATCCATGTTGTATAACTACTCATGGACAAGGACTTATACGTTGAAAGCTTCATATCTCGAAGAGACTTGGTTAAAAACTTCTAAATAGTTTTTTAGAAACTAGTCTAGTTGAGATCTCTATATGCACTAAGTTTCAGAACAAAATTCGAAAGTACGAGTTCTCTGAGACCTGGGATCCTACAGGAGCCCATAGGACATAGATGTAACATTCCTTAAGTTTTTATGCACAAAATGGACAAGATTGAAAGAAATCAACATCGGAGTAGTTCTATACTCATCAAGTACTTTCATTTTATACCATTTCCACCGTGGGGAAAAATCTATGAATTTCGACCACCCCCTTTCACATACCTTAAAATTTAAATAATTTGCTCTAAGTACACTATGGGGACGTAATATTTTAGATTTGTTAGTTTGCAGTGAGAACTTTAATTTGACCCGAATATGTCTAATCTATTCGATAAACAATACAAACCATTTCATCGTAAGCTATCACCGATGAAAGACGTCGAGGTGAAGGAGGAGGTGTCAAACATTTATGGATGTCTATACAGTGATTAAGAATATTTTCATTTTTCTCACACGTCTTATGACAAAATTGTCAAGTTTAGCTTGTTTCAAAGAGTGTTTTTCAACAAGCAATGAACTGAATCAATCAGCTGAAGATGTAGCAGTGTTGAAATATTTCGAGAGCATGTTACACACGCAGTTATGCTTTTTTTGAAGCAGTGATGAGAGATTTTCGAGTGCCATTGATATTGAATTTCATTTGTTTTTGTTTTTACCCTTTTGTCCTCATTGAAATAATTACATTGCATGTAAAAAAAGGAAAACTTTTTAATGGGTCATATTTTTTCGTTTGTTGTTTATAAAATGTGTATTTTGTCTTTTTATCTTCGTTTCTATTTTTTATATATTTATTTAATAAATATTATGTAATATATCTGAATAAGTGGACTCTTTTTAGAAAGTTATTGTTTTTGAAATACGATTTAAAGCCTTCCACACTTGAGAACACTCGAGATTATGTATTGTGTCTTATCGTTCAGAAGTTACAAGGACTATCCTCTATGCAGTCCCAAAAAAAGTCATAGTTTTTGTTAGTCTGGCCAACAATTCTTAGTTTCAATTCATTTTTGTTCAACACATCGTTAGTAAACAAGTTTACTTCACTCATCTTACACACATACAATGAGAAAAGAAACAGTTAATAGTTTTTGAGAAAAAGAAGATAATCGTTGGTAAGAAGAACATTCTTCGAACACTACAATCAACATATCCTAATGTCTTGATATAATGTCTAGTAGTGCTCTTTTTTTTCTAGGGAATAAGATCTGTCTTTGGCAATATTTAACCTTGTTAATAGGTGAATAACTGAGAAAAAGAAAATTAACCTCTTTTTTTTGTTAAACTTAGTTAAGTCAGCTGGTTATGTTGAGAGTTGGATAGTATGCATATAATTCATTCAGAGTGGAATGTTTCTCTACTATAGTTATCAGTTTCAAAGTAACTTCATAGAATATGATTGTTTGAGAAGAAACAGTTTATAGAAAAATAGTAGTCGAGTACATATTTAGTGCTTTTTTGTGTGTTTCGAAAAGTATCTTTAGATCTTGTTTTAAAAAAAGAATTATATTCGCAGGCTCAGAATGAATACTTTATAGAATAAACTTGGACATGTATATCTGAATATATGTTTTCTTCAAATATAAATGTACCGTTTGGTGACAAAAAATATTTCTGAATTTGTAGAAAGAGTGGAAAGACAAAGAGGTATTTTGATTAATATACAACAGGATTTTATCAAATATGTTTCTATTTTAGAAAGATCGCTTCATATGTAATCAGTGCTAATGTACACTGCGCCAATTAAATCATATGATGATGGAAACGCTTTTTTCATACAGAGAACGTAAAGAATATTTTCCAGATTACGCTGCAAAATAGTATTGAAATGATTCTAGAATATGTTTTCAATAAAGAAATGTATTTTTCAATAGACTGTTGTTTCCTGTTGGTTGGTTTTTTAAGATTTTTGTAACTCACAATTCATAACTAACACGTCGCTAGAATGATGGGAGTCAAATATTGTCTATACTAAACTTTGATATTATTATGGACATAGATTTTGAAAAATCGTCTCTCAGACGAGATTCTTCAAATGTATCAACGGGTTTTATAATCGATTCTTTCATGTTCATGAAGTTCTTGAGTATCTTTAGCCAGAATATCATGTGATATGGACACATCTTAAAGCAAGACTCTTGAGGCCATTTGGCAAGCTCATGCGCTTCGACTTCTTCTTGTATCGCTCAAAATTTTTCGTCACACACTTGAATTCTTGTTTAAGTGTTTATGTTTGTTATTCAAGTGTGTGTAAGGATGATCACAAACGAAATACTTTATGTAAAATATTGCGAGCTGCATAGATTAACAATAAAAGTTCGTTCCCATTACAAGTTAGCGATAGCAGTACTCCATTGGATCTGGTCATCTGTCACAACTATAAAAATAATACATGTGATTTGTGACATTACTTTTAATTTTTTTTTATATGTGCATTTCTTTTTTTTCTTCAGTTTTTCATTCAAAACAATTCTATTCATAATAAAAATTCACAGCGTAAATAAAAAAGTGTGTAAGAGACATTGTTATTTATAGGGCATCTAAATGAGTAAATAGATTTAGACATTCTCCATGGCAAGGAGCATTCTTGTATCTTGAATAGAAAAGCTTTGATTATTTTGCTAGAGTCGATTGTTTCAAGTGTGCTCATTCCTATGATTTTCATGAGTTCAATGTTTGAACTACTTTGAATGTACACATAACTCATACAAGCATTCAAGGAGGTCTCTGCAGAAATGATTTCCCACTTAGAATGAACTGTTCGGGCTAAAACTTCCAGGAACGATTGGTCCTAGTGAGAAACGCTTGTGGTAAAAATTTCAGCCTGATATGCCTGACTAGACCGAACTTCAAGCTGGTTTTCCTAACTTCCAGGAGCATTGAAATAACTTGGTCGTTGGAAGTGGTACAGGGCTCGGACTGGTTTCAAATTAAAAGTAGCCTCTGTGCGTAACTTTTCGTCAGACGGAATTTTGAAACTCCTTTCCTTTCATTTTTTATGACCATTTTTATGCACATGGTGTGTAAAATAAGCATAAAAAATGTCGCTCCACGACAGTAAATCCCATTTTTCTGAGCCCTTCAATCAAGAATCAAAAATTCGTCCCATGAAAAGTTAGCTGTGATGAAGACCTTTGAAACAGAAAAAAAAACATCGATTATACCCCGAACCGAGGGGCTTATTTCAATTTTCCTGTCTAGAAACCGTGTTTTGAGAAAAAACGCTGAAGAAGTTTTAGAAATGAATTTTTTCATTCAAATCCAGAACAAATCATATTACAATGATATATTTTAATATATTCCAGTGGATCGTTTTAAAGTACGTAATAATTAGATGAAGGTAGGTAAAGCCATCTGACATGCTG